TTCCACACCAGGTCCTCCAAATCCACTGTTCTCTATAGTATATATACTATGTTGCCTTTGTGGACTTAACTCTGAATCTATCTACATTTATAACTTTGTTTCCTATGGGAAATACCTTTTGAGGGTCAGTCAAGGATTTCACAAAATGAACAAAATCAATTCAGAAGGACAAAATTACGTATGTCAAAACGTATATGATATATGACAGCAAAAAAAATCTAAATAGCACATCATTTACCTAATTGTTTAAGAGAAATGACTAAATTGATTTGGATTCAAACACTAATCTTCTGGTATTTGAGAAGAATATAGCTTCATTATTTAGAATTATTTCTTAACTAAGATCAGTTCAGCTAGTAATTTATATAAACATTCACTGTTATTTCCACTCATCCTAATTTTATTGATTTTTCCATACCTGTGAACAAACGAATCCCATGATTTACCCAAAATGGATACTGTATTTTGATATGAGAATAGTTCAGAATCATACAGCACAAATAAACTAGACATTTAGAACACTCCTCAATGTAGGCAACCAATATATAAGGACAGATTATTACAACTCTGTCTCGAGGCTGATATCAGAAATGAAGGATTTCTAAACACAGCACTTAACACATCACACAGGGTGCAGAATTTATTCACAAGAGCCATTTGTATGACAATTTACCTTTTTTAAAGCCATTTTATGTACCTCAACTCATTTAATTCTCCTAAAAATTCTAGAAGGTAGGTAGGCCAAGTGTTGTTATTGCCATTTTACAAAGGAGGAAACAGGCTCAGAGGAGTTTAATGGTTTTCCTAAAGCCATATAACTAGTAATGCTATGGAATTAAAATTCAGGGCTAATTAATGCCTTCTAACATCACTGTTCTTTCTAGGACATCAAATCATTTTTATAAGTTCTCTTTAGCATGATCACTAAAGGTTACTAGTGATCTTAGTCAAGGTTACTATTAAGAAAAAAATCTGAAATAACTAGTGGATTAAAATTGTTAGGATTTAGCACATTCATCATGTAAGAAATCAAATGGATTGAGATACAAAAGTTGAGAATATAAAAATATAAATTTTAAGCATACATATGTAGTTTCAAAAAGCTTTTATATTCTCTGAATGTGAACTAAAATAAAGACATTTAAATATTATTTTCTCAGTCCTTGATAAATACCTACGGACATGTAAAATTATGTCCTTATAGACTTGAGACTCACAAACTAACATTCAAGGGGGGACCCAAATAAACAGAATTATCTTCGGGTGGGCAAACCCCTTGTAGTATGGGCTTCCCCGCCCCCGGCTGAGTGTTCTAAAAACCCATCTGTATCAATGTACCAGCTGGTGGTGGTGTAAGAGGCTGCATTTGGTTTCAGTAAGTTTTTTTGAAGACTCTTTCAACGTGTTTGCCCATTTCATGATGGTTGATTTACGAGCACATCTACCAACATCATGCTGTGTTTAGGGTTTTTAACCTAAAAAAGGCATGACCCCCATGCCCCATCCTCCCTATTTACCTGATCTCACCCCAAGCGACTTTTTTTTTGTTTCCCCAGATAATAGAAAGTCCTCAAAGGAAAACATTTTGCCAATGTGGAAGAGGTGAAACAAACAAAAAATACAGCAGAAGCACTAAAAGGCATCAAAATCAATGTGCTCAAAAACTGTTGTGAGCAGCAGAAAAAGTCTCGATAGGTGTACTGCATCAAATGGAGAGTACTTTGAAGGTCACTGAAGTTTAAACATGTAAAAGTATATACACAATTTCTTAAATAAATAAATTCTGGATTTTTTTGCCCCCCCTCCTTTGCACTATGCATTTTGACTTTACATTCCATATGATAACAGAGACTCTGAAGTCAGAGAATCCTAAATTTGATTGCCAATTCTGCCATCACTGTGACCTTGGGCAACTTTAAAGTATCTGATCCTCTATTTCTTCATTTTACAAATGAAACTAACACCAAACTCAAGATCATTCTGGACAATAAATAAAATCAAATCCATATATAGAACTCAGAATATAGTAAAACTAATTCAAGTTATGACTTGACAATAACAAATAACAAGGATGTGGCAAAAATGAGAACCCTCATACATTATTGATGGGAGTGTAAAATAGTACAACCATTTTGAAAAAAAGTCTGCAGTACCTCAAAAAGATAAACATAAAACTATGATATGACCCAGCAATTCTATTCCTAGTTGTCTAACCAAGATATGTGAAAACATATGTACACACAAAGACTTGCATATGAATCTTTGTGGTGGCATTATTTGTAATAACCCAAAACTGAAAACAATACCCATCAACTGGTGAATGTACAGACCAAATGTGATATACTTACATATTGGAGTATTATTCAGCAATAAAAAGGAACTACTGGCACATGCTATGTCATGCATGAACCTCATTGTTAAAGAAGCCAGGCATAAGTGACTCCGTACTGAGTGATCCCATTTATTACTGTCCAGAGAAGCAAATTTGTACAGACAGAAAATAGATTAGTGGTTTTCTGGGGCTGAGAGTAACAATGAACATTAACTATAAATAGGCATGAGGGATACTATTGTGGTGATGAAAATCTTTTAAAAGTGATCGAAGATGAAAGTTGCACCACTTGATAAAATTACTTAAAATCATTGAATTGTACACTTGGAATGAGTGAATTTTATGGTATGTAAAATATACCTCAATAAAGCTGTTTTTAAAAATGCATGCGCTTTTGTTTCTTGTCTCTTGAAGAATTAAATACAATCTTAGGTTGTAGCAACTTCTATAATTTGCATTAAACAAACAATTGTACTAATTCTAACTTTGGATGGGAAAACCACAATCTTATTTAGAGAAGCGCTAACATAGTATTAGGACACCCCTCCGAATGGTTGCTCATTGGAGAGGGATCCTCCAGGAAGGGGAGTTCTCTCATCAATCAAAGTACCTTCTGCTGATTTACATTTTAAGAAGCCAGTGCCTGGAAGCAGCTCACATAGTATATACAAAAGAGATTTAAGTTGTGCTTTGACAATGGGCCAGTTGATTAGATGGGTGTCTCAGTTTACATTCCAATTACAGTTGAAGAGCTTTTTTAAATAAACAAAAATTTTAACACAATTTGAAAGATCACAGGGTACCTTATATACCCTGTACATATCGAGACAGCAAAGATACCGTTTGCTTAACTGCATAATGTCGAAACACTATGGTCCTCAAAAACGATATTCAATGGCAACATTTCAAGCATTAACCTAATCCCTGGATCTTCCTATATTAAGTCTACATATATTCTCCTAACTATCCACCCTCCTTACTGGGACTTCAAAGAATTTTACAAACTTTTTAGGACTTCACACAAATACCACCTTGTTGGTCAGGCCTTGCCTGACGGCTTACTGAAAGCTGCCATCCTCATAAAACTCCTTAGCCTCCCTTCCCTGATACATTTTTCTCCTACATATAGTGGTTACTGTTTGTCTTCCCCTACTTGAGTATAAATTCCACAAAAGAAGGAATTTCAATCTGGTTTTACTCTTTGCTGTATCCCCATTGCCTACGACGGTGCCTAGCATATTGTAGGTGCTTAATAAGTGTTTTCTGAACAAACGAAAGGATATCACATAATATGGAACAAGCTGATACTTGCCACAGAAATATGTAAGTTTTTTCTATTTAACAGACTTGACTTAAGACTAAAAGACAACATTTAAAGAAAATAGAGGCCTCAGAATAAAATATCCAGACTGCCTATTCAACATTTCTACAGCAAAAAGGAAAAAAAAAAAAAAAAAAAGCTCATGTTTTACTTATAATTCTGGATTTGCAACAATCAAACGGAGAGTATTTTTAATAAGCTGGCTCGCGTTCTGGAGAGAGGACAAATTAATTAAATCCCATGTGACTCTTGTTAACAACAACAAAAAGGAAAGTTTAATACTTAACTAGTAAGGTTGAAAAAAAAAAAAAAGTCTAACGCAGCCTGTTTTTCTACACCGAAAATGGGATTCTATCCCCAAGAAAAACAGGCGGCAGGATCTGCCTCAGCGGTTGCGGCCTCCCCAGCCCCACGGCCTCCAAGGTCCCCCACCAGGGAGCCCCTTTCCCCGCGCCACCCAGCAGCCCTCCCAGCAGCGGTTCCCACGCGCCAGCCCACCCGCAGACCCCGCCGCGCTGGGGCTCTCCCGGTCCCAGCGGCGCGCCGGCCCCTCACAGGCCCGGCCCGCAGACCTCCCACCTCCCAGCGCCGAAGGCCCCCCTCCCTCCACCGTCAGCCCCACCCACCCGGAGTCGCGGAGCCGCGCGAAAGAATCCGGATGGCAGGGACCTCCCGCCCGGCCAGGACTGGAAGACATTTTACACTTCATCCTGGTTCTGCCAGTTTCTGTGTGACCTTGGGCACGGTCCTAACCCTGTAGGGATCCCCGTGTTGTCACCTTCCAGGTGAGGGTGACACCTGCAGCAAGTTGCTCTAAGGGTTAAATGAAGTATCCTGTACAGCACCTAGCAGGGCGCCTGACACGAAATGGGAACTCGAGTCGTGGGTAAGGGGTGTTACTCCCCAGTCCTATCCAGACGGTCTCAGAGCTGGAAGGGCACTTGACCGAGCAGCGAGCAGCACGAGCTCCCGGCTTCGGAGAACGGAGCCCTGAGGTTCGGGTGGGGGAAGCGCCTTGCTGCCGAACACTGAACAAGCAAGCGGCCGCGGGCGCTGTCCCTGGCCCCGGAGACGCCTGTCACCCGCCTGCACCCTCATCCCTGTTCAACCGGCCCCTGCCCGGCTCCAGCCGCTACTGGGGACCAGGCAATGCCCAGCGGAGCCCACCGCCCTCCCAGCGGCTCCCGGGCTTCGCTTGGCCCGGAGCCGCTCCACCTGCCGCCAGGCCCTCACCCGCCACCCGCAGCCCGCACGCTCGCGGCTCCTGGGCTCCCACAGCTCGCGGCCCCCGCTCCCGCGAGGCAGACAGCCCAGCTCGGTGCGGCGGCCGCGGTGCGCGTACTCAACTCTTCACTTTGCCGAAGGTGCCGACTCCCAGTGTGTCTCCCAGCACGTAGTGTCCAATTTTCACCCGCCCGTCGTGCTTCTGCTTCTCAGCCATCTTCGGAGCGCACCCTCCCTCTGCCGCCGCCGCCACCGCTGCCTTCGGCTGTGGGCTCCTCAGCGCTGCCGCGCCGCCTACCCACAGTGCAGCGGGCCGCCGGGTGGGGGGAGGGGAGGAGGACCCGGGGTGGGGGCACGCACACCGGCGGACAGGGGGAGCGCGTACGGGGGGGCGGGGCCGAGGCAGGTGGCAAAAGCCAACGAGCAGAGAGCCCACGGGTGGGGTGTGGAGGCGTGAGGCGTGGGGCGTAGAGCCGGGCGGGAGGAGGCGAGGCCAGAAGCCCCAGAGGGGCGCTCGGGGCACAAGGAGTGGAGGGCGGGACCCCGAGCAAGGGGCGGGGTGGGTCGGAAGCTGACAGGTGTGCGAGGGTGAGGTGGACAACGCCCTTTTGCCTGAGAGTGGGGCCCGAGGGCAACAGTGGTTTGTGGGGACCTAGGACGACGAACCCAGAAGGGAGTGAAAATGTAAGGATGAGATTAGGGCGGAATCCTCCGGCATGGAAAGAGGTGGAAGGAGAATTTGAAGAGAAACAGGCCAAGTGTGGGGAGAGGGGGCATTTAAAAAGAGGAAGACGGGAGTCTGAGGAAAATGGGTAAGAAGCCGTGGGGAAGAGCCTCCAAGCAAGGGCAGTCGGCGCAGCGCCCTGAGGAAGTTTCTTAGGTCGTGGGCTGAGTGTTTTGGACACTCACATTGCACATGGGAAAAATTCTTTGCTGTCATCAATTGTCTTCCTCTACGTATATTATAATCAATTATTTTGTCCTAAAGATGCAAGACACCCTGTCCTCCTGAGCTTCCAATTCTAACGTACACAAAGTTCTCCAGTAAATCACAGCCACAGTATTTGCTCAATTGTCCTCGAACACATGCTTATATAAAGAGTGTAGTAATGGTTTGTGATAGACCTGCACAGAGATGGTGAAAGAAATGCGAAGGGAAACTGAATGAACCTGGCACAGAAAGTGAAATACACACGGACAAAGAGGGATTGTGAAGAGCAGAGGCAATGTAAGAGCACACACTAAAGAGAGAATACATGTGATAAAGACAGACGTAGGAGTAAAAAGGGGAAGGGGGCAGGTGAGAGGAAACCGGAAGCAGGACGCCCAGACACAGTATTAAAGACTGACAAGAATTTAGTAATGGAGTGACGATGTATTCCTCTCTCCCCTTCCTCCCGCCCTCCTTTCCTTCCTTCCATATTGCCCTGTTCTTTAATGTGGACTGTCTTTCAATGCCTAACATTATGTACTGTTTGATAATAAATGTTTAAGGATTAGTTGAACATTTTTAAAACTGCGCATGACAATAGAGTTTCAAGGTCCCATTCCTCCAACACTCATGTAACCACTGCTATGTAAAGCAGAAATGCATGATAGGAAAAAAAAAAAAAAGATGTAACAGAAGTTTACTTTCCTAGAGGTGATAAATACACAAATGACAAACATACATCCATTCTCGTCTAGACACCAAAACAATCTGAGAGCTGATCACAGCTTATAAATTATAGATATCACAGCTGTTAACAGAGGCTATTTTTATTCATTCTTGAGATCATCTTTCTTGCTGACAAGAAGTAACATTTAAGAATCACTCTACCTAGTTGGCAATTTGGAGAAAATAGCCCGTTATTGCTGATACTGAACCTTCATTTTGTTGAAGGTCACGCCATCAGCATTCATTCAAGAGAGTAAGAAAACAAAATACATATTCAGCTTTTGAGACATAAGATGTATGTCTGTCTCTTGTTCTAATGTCCCATTAAAAGATGTTGAAATATCAATTAGATTGCTTTCTTGAAGCTACATGAAAACAGACTATAGAAAAATATTTTAACATATTCTTCACTCTTAACTATTTGTTGATAATTACAATGTAAATTACTGTATATTTCATAACTATGATCCTTACCTAGCTACCATAAACTACTTGTAGCTTTATTTTTATGCCAAACAAGTGTACGATAATTAGTTGTTTAAAAAGTTCGTTTAAACCTGATCACCTCATTTAATTGTCATAAAGGAAACATTATTATCCCCATTTTATAGGTGATAAAACTTAATTTTACCCTTTCTGTTCTGCCAAGGCTAATCAGCTAAGTGGTAGAGTCAGAACTCATATCTAGTTCTGACTTGTCCTTTATCTTTCTACTGTTCCACAGCTGCCTGATAAAAACATGGTGCTTGATAAAAGTGTACAATTTTCACAATTATATGCCCATTCTCATGTTTTTATTAATTCTAGGACAGGCCAATAATATACCGTTTTAACCTTATATTTTTAGCTCTTTTCCTGACTTTCGTTTAGAAGAAAGGTTGAATGTTAACAGGATGAGAAGTGGGGAAGGACAACTCTGGTGATAGCCTCAGCCCTTTGCTCGCCCTGAACACTGCAACTTTGCCTCTCCCTACCCAGCAGCAATACAAACCTGACAGTCAATCAGGTCAAATATCTCAAACAGTCAAGCCCCTTGGGAGTTTCACTCCTCAGAGATGTTCTGTTAAATACAATAGTCCCCATTTTATTATTTTCTAATGATGCTTCCGTCCTTAACCCTAGTCCAATTTACTGCCTTACCCTCCTCCCATTGCTGGGTAAGAGATTATTTCACTTCCAATATTCTAAAGCGGGGCCTGAATATGTGAATAATGGAGTACCACTGACCTGATATACCACACTAGAGTCCACTCATTATCAGTAACCAGTTCCTCCAAGTGTTTGTGCAGGGTTACCATCTCAGTGGGGCCTACCTACTCAGACCAACCCTATTTAAATTGCAGTTTTATCTTACCTGTACTCCTTAACTTCCTCAATTTACTACTAACATACCATTTACTTGTTTATTATGGTTGTTGTTTTCTCTCTCTCTCTCTCCCAACTAAGTTTTATAAGTCTTAACAACTATAAGTATAAACTTAACTATAAGTATAAACAACTAAGTGTAAGTTTTATAAGATGGTTTTTTTCTTGATTTTGTTCACTGATATAGCCTCAGTTCCCAGAACAGTGCCTTACAAATTAAAGGCACCAAAGTAGATTCAGGTTCTGTGGTGTTTGAAGTTTATACAATGTGGGAAAATTCTTTATGGAAAAAAAAAATTGCAAAATCGGGTTTCAAAGTGAATATTTATTTGAAATGAAAAGAAACTATCTAGAAATATTTGACAACACAATCATCCCCAAATTCAGAAAAACAAATCTTTATAAATTAACTATCTCACATACTTTTGTAATGCTCATTTCCTACATTGTGGGGCTGCATATTTTTTATTACCTCTTCATATTTTGTAATTTTTTTAATAGAAGAGAAAGATCATTCTGTCCTTCCTCTATCGTAATTGAGCAAGTTTTTGATCACATGTTTCTCTTCAGGATTTCTATAGCAGTTTTTAAAAAGATTTTATTTGTTAATTAATTTATTTATTATTAGAGAGAAAGAAACATCGATGCAAGAGAGAAACACAGATGCAAGAGAGGACATCAATTACTTGCCTCTCTACGCATCCTGACTGGGAATTAAACCATCGACCTCTCACTTTGCAGGATGATGCCCAACCAACTGAGCCACACCAGTCAGGGCCCCATAGCACTTTTTTCATATAGCTAATACAGCATCTATCAATTCTGTTATTTTGTATATATAATTTATGTATCTTATGTTTATATATACTTCATATATATAAGTGAACATTTCATATATTTATATGTGAAAACAACATATTCCATCTGATATTCCTAGGACCTAACACAACCTCGTACATCATTCCAAAATTTTTGTTGCATTAAAAATTTTTTAGAAAATAGTTACTAAACCATGGAATCAAAGAACAAGAATACAAGGAAGAGCACTTTGAAAAGAAGTTAGAGTTATAACATTCATTTTATTCATATACATTTTAAATACAAAGCATAATTTTCCATCTTGATGTAGTAGTCATTAGTGAGGTTGGAGATTGGCATAAGCCAGACAATTCTGGAGCTTATAAATTTATAATAGGGTGTTCCTGTATTGTTATCTAGTTTAAAATAAAAAGAAAGTTGGATACTCAATGAGTAATGAAGTGTATTGGTGGTATCTTATATGTAATACAAGTCAAATAATTCTTTTTTTTACTTTTATTATGAAAATGTTCACGCCTGCACTAAAGTAGTATAAATAACCTCTACTCTCAATGATTCTCAAAATTGTCAATATTTACCTATCTATCTTTGCATTTAAAAAATTTGTTTCCTGGGGTATTTTAAAGAAAATAACTAGATAAGTTATTTCATTGATAAGTACTGGTATATAGCTCTAACAGATGAGAACTTCTTTTTAGCATAACCATACTACCACTATCACAGCTACTAAAGTTAACAATAATTCCTGACTGTTATGGAATACCCACTATGTTAAATTTTATCTGATTGTCTTAAAAATATAGTTTTAGTTTTGTTTTATACTCAACAGTACCAGAAACGTCTACAGTTAGCATTTTGTTGCTCTAGTTCTGATGTCTCTTTTAATCTGTAATGGTTCCTCCCCTTATTTAAAAAATTTATTTATATTGAAAAATTGGGCCATTTTGCCTGTTGAATATCCCAAACTCTGTTGGATTTAGCTCAATAATTATTTTTTATAAGAAGAAGTAAATGGTGATAAAGAATATTTATTTAGAAATAAAACTTTGATGTTCATGTCCCATCTTAGCCATTGAGCAGTGCCCTTAAACAGGTCATTTCATATCTCATTGGTAAAACTAGTTGTGTTAAACTGGATTATATTTAAAGTTCTCCGTTGTTCAGAAACTCAACTCCCAAACTCTACTCACCACTTCAGAATGAAACTATCAAAGGAAAAAATTAGGCTAGGCTATAGTCCAAAGTATCTCAACAAACTAAATTTGGTGCATTTTTTTCCCTACACACATTTACCTCTTAATATTTATTACTGGTTTGTAAGGTTGAGAGGATAATATGACCTGGCCCAACCCCTTCAACAAGATCAGTAGAGGCAATACTTAAAACCCTTTCAAGGAAATGTTATACATAATTTTGAAATGTTATTTTTAGCAGGTACCCTAGTAACAAATATTAAACCGAACATAA